TTAGCTTTACATCAATATAAAAATTTTTGTTGTTTGCTTAGTAGATAATGCCAATACAAGTTTCGGAAAAAAAAGGGGTTTCATATGTTTTACTATTGATCAGCAAATCTCGGCCAATACTTTTTGGTAGTGAGTGTATCTGGAGCATGTTCAAGAGTTTAGCTTTGACCACATCATCTTCATTGGAGAACACAAGTGTCCTGGAAGTGGTGGAATAGTCTTTTTAGATTGTCATGAACGTGTGTTCATCTGGGACATGATAGCTGGCATGTTGTTTCCACATGGAAATTCTTTGAAAGAAGTGTCAAGAGGCCAGTTTGGCAAACCATGGTTTGTAGATGATGATGGAACTATTGTTAAAAAAGTTGACTATTGTATGTACACAGATTTTTGTTTATTATTTTTTACCTGAATTGTGTATAACTATATTCTTTCTTCAGTTACCAATGCTCAACTTAAACAGGTTCCCTAATTAACTCAGAATTTTAAACAAATCTGCAACTATATAAAATGCATAATATCAAACATGTCCTGAACTAGATTTACTAAGACAAGCATGTGGCTGAGTATGCTGAGCTTAAGCACGAAATTTAAAACTAAAACAGATTAAGATTATAGAAGACAATGCAGAGTTTAAGGTCAAAATAATAAAACTGGAACAAACTGTTGATAAAATTAAGAAGCAGGACCAAAGTATTAATAATGGTTCTCAGTGTGAGTGGCACATTCATACCAAGTCAATACACCCAAACAGATATCTCAAATTATTTATGCTGCACATACAAAACAAAAATAATGGCACAGAGTTATGTGAGTAGATTAGAACAGCAAACTAAAGTGTGTTCTCATCATAACCTCCCTCACCAGATTTGGTAACATTTAATTTGGTAAATGATATAGTTAGAAAATAGTAAATTTTTTTTACATGTTGGCTAAAGACAATCCAATCTATAATGATAATGGCCAGGCAAGCCTATTATAGTACTGTATACTAATACTAATTATGGTACTAGTACTCTACCTCTAGCACTTGGGGAGGTAACTGGTGAGAACACACAGAGACTTCTAACTAATACTAATGCAGAATAAAAAAATTAGTAAAGCCTTAGAAGTTTTCAAAGAATTGGCATAGTAAGCAAAAACAAAAATATTGGAAAAATTCAAGACTTGAAAGAAAGTTGAACACTAAAAAGCAACAGACTCAACTAACTACTCATATCAAGTTAAAGGATTGTGTGACAAGTTGATGAAACGCATGTATTTATGACTCATTAACTTTTTTTTTTTAAAATACTTTAATTTCCACAATTCTACAATGAATGAATTCAATGACTTGTTCCCGACACCAACTTGATTACTTGATCATAAATAGTGAGTAGACGTCTGAGAGGAAAATGGAATACAGAAGTGACGAGTTCGATAGTGATATGAAATTTATTACATAAACAACCCTTCTTCCAGGCGCAAAAAGTAAGTTGGTGACTGCTGAAAGGTAAAACTGGAAGTGGAACTACTTCCCTGGGGTGGCTTCACCTCTTGTAATAAAATATTTATACTCGCTATTTATTATTGAAATTATTGGAATTATATCGATCATATTATTGTTATCATTGTCTTTTGCTCGATACCGATACTTTGATGTAAGCAAAACCCTAGTGAAACAGAAGTGTTTAGTTTAAGACTGCGATTATATGACTTTATGTTTAGTACAAAAAAGGCGTTCGTAGTACAGACAATGTATAACACCGAGAGTCTAATATACTCGTTTGAAGGTTAATACTCGTTCCGTTCAATAAAGTTACTGTGAATTAATCATTACAGTGGGACCTCCCTAAGTGCAACCCAATTACAAAGTTTGACCCCTCTAAGCGCAAAGTCTGGTTCAGTCCCAAGTTTATAAACTATATAAGCATTTCACCCTCCATAAGTGCAATACCTCTCTAAGTGCAAGTTTCATCAGTTTTTTCCTATGTCTCCCAGCGAGTTGCACTTAAGGAGGTCTGACTGTATTTTGTTTAAGTTAAAATATTATTTCGTTAATGAGAGAAAACATATGTCAAAATGTTAGCAGAGTATCGGAGCCATAGAGACACAGAGTGAAATGCAGATACTTTTGATGAATTCCAATAGAACATTAAAATGGCAAGAGAAATATTAATGTGGCGGCAGAACGAACGAAATAGTATCTACGATATAATATATAACGGATATTAAATGTTTTATGTGAGAACAGCATTTCTTCGTCTGTATATTCAAGCGGACCAAAAAGAAAATATTGAAGTAAATGTCCTCATATTAATATGAGTGTTAACTTTAATATTTCTATATTAATATGGCGTCGTTACCAATTTCAAACGTGTTGATAGGTTGATTGCTGCATCAGTAGTCCTGTATATAATACGTACGAGTTGAAAGTCTACAGCCGACATTCAGATAACTGACTTCTTATACCGTATATCGTGCCCTTGGCGAAGCACAACCATAACGACATGGAAAGGTCTCTATCTAAACTTAAAAGTAGCTATTGACTGTCATAACTATTATGCCCAGGGTCTATTAATCTACAAATTGAGAATTATAACTAACGATTAAGCGTCTACTCGTTCATAAAGACAGGTAAGTTAAGAATTCAAGATATTTCACGTCAGCGTCTGAGATTTCACGCATTGTAGACGAGCAAACGCTGTCAATGTCAGCATTAAGTAAGGCATATCAGCATATACACTTTGCTTACCGCAGGCTAACAAAATTTATGAGACATTGACTACAATAGAAAATAAAGTAGATTTTTGACAAAAGTTTGCGGTAAAACAATTCTAACGCGATAACAGTTGTGGCACAGATTATTTGGAAAATATTTAACGTCACGTGAACTAAATATCAAACTTGACGTTTGGCATGGTAAGCAGCTATTAAACATAGTCATAGGCGATAAATTGCTGATAACGTATTGACTATTTATAGAGAATGCGCATAAATAAAAAAACTGTCGTGCGCTTTACTTTGACTGATGAATTGTTTCATTAGCACACTCAGCGGCTGGCATTTCGAGATAATCCAAACGGTTGATTAAAGACTATAATATTTGGAAAAGTAATTGTTTTTGTCATCTCATCATGCTTGTTTATTACCAGCCACACTATTGTCTGAAATACCATTATACACTAATTCCTACCGATAAAATATTTTACGTTCTGCAGATCGAAAAATAGATACTATTTCTCAAGAGGAGCTGATAGTATTTCCCACTATACATCTTATAACTTCGCAACAGAATCATTTGAATCATTTGTAATGTAGAGACGTGATCATTGTTCGTTACCTAAACTTAAACCGGTTTGGTTCAAATTTTGCCACGGGGTCGACCGTACCACATAGGATTGACACTCCACGACCTGAGCTGTATCTCAAACCACTAAACATGTCTGCGAAGGTTCGTATGCTCAATAGTATTTTCGTACGCTCAACTGCTTTATACTCACCCTTCATTATGTCTTATAGCATACTGTAGAGACGAAAATAAAATTAGTCACAGACCAGGTGAGAAAATCATAATTCTATAGTATGAAATTCCGAGAAATAGCTATTAACTGTTTTATTCGCATTCTCAACACGTAGGAGATTGCTAAAGATTTAAAACCAGTTGAGGGCCTGCCCAGAAGACGTTGGGCTGTAACCTTATATGCCGTGGACGACGCGGGTGTGAACCGTGATTTGACTTATGTTGCTCAAGTAGAATATCACCTTCACCCAACCTTTGGCGATTGGAAGAGAGGTGAGCTATAAGTGAGCTTATACTAGCGAGTAATTATCACTTTCTACAATAAGACAAAATACACTTATTTTGATTAAGCCTTACGATCAAATAATAGTAGGGGAAACATATTCCTAAATTATTCTCTTACAGCAGCTATTCATGCTTTGCACTTTATTTGTCCTTGTCAGTTTTTCTCGTGTCGATGTGAGATCTATCACACAGAATAAGAGACAATAATAAAGGAGAAGTTAATTTGTTTCTAATCTTGTATCCTTCCATAGTTGTACGGAAACCACCATTTAAACTTGCAGAGACGGGGTGGGGCGAATTCGACATGAAAGTAATCCTTTACTTTGTTGACAAATCAATTCCTCCGCATGAGCTCGAGCATGACCTTAACTTCAGCAAACCGCACTATGAAGTGTTGCATACTTTGGTGAGTCCGATGTATTGATTTGAAACCTAGCCGACAATATTAACATATATATGCCTATCACAGATTTTCACTGATGCAAAACCCGCATTTCGGAGGCTGTTGCCATCGGGCTCAGCGGAGATAGCTAAATCGAAACCGGGCAGACCGCCCAAAAGAGCCAACTCTTCAAGTACCGTTACGTCAGCAAAAAAACAAAAAGTAGAAACAACATCAACGAGATCATCGAAAACCGAAACCGTTACAACAAAACAGACGAAAATGGAAGCACCGCCTACACCAACTTTTGGATCTCCACACAAATTATCACCAGCGAAAACATCGCCTGCGAAGCAAGTGTCTTCGAAATCAACGCCACCTAAAGTATCTACCAAATCGATTCCTTCAAAATCGTCATCCAAGTCTACAACGTCAAAGTCTATGAAATCCGAATCCCCAAACCCTTCTCCTACACCCCCAAAATCTTCGCCGGAATCTGCTCAATCCGTAGCACAATGCGAGAACAGAGTATGATTGATGAGATTTCCTGGCTGCATGCAAATCAAATCTGTTTATTGCGATGTAAATAGAAGTTTTACTAACAAAATGCTGGCTCGTACACTATATCATACAGGTGACACTCCAGCGTCTGGCTGACAATTTATATGCGTTGCAAGGAGATGACATTCATGACCTAATTGATATAATTAATAAGCATAGAACAGATCATATGTATATAAATG